TGCAAGTTTTATTTGCACCTCGATCTTCTACTGTCTGAACCTCCATCAATAAATCTAAGCCTTTCAAAATTGTCCCCTTCTGCAGAATAAAGTTTATTGGCGCTATCGCATGATATAGGGCATTTTTTAGAACTCATGAGGCAGAAATTTCGGGAAAAAGAACTACGCATTCTAGAGTCTCTCCTCTCCGCCTGAGGCTAGTTCGGTTTTAATAAAAGGGAGATGGTTCACTCGGCTTTAAGGACGTGCCACCACAATGACTCTATTTTGCGGATAGCGCCTGATTTATCTATTCATTCCCATTGGATGAGCTAGTTACTGCTGTCACATGCAACAAAACAGTCGATACTGCAGTTCAATATTTCACAATTTTTAACTTTGCCTCACGCAAAAATCCTAATGTTCTCAAAATGACCTCGAGCAGGGAACAAGGTCAACCGGTCGTGCTTGGCTATCTCAAAAATCTCTTGCTCTCTGTTGAGGGACTTCAATACACCACGTTACCACAAGCTAAAGAGGTCATGTGAGTCGGGAAAAAACCTCTTGAAATTTCTCCTTTCTCATTCCCCAAAACTGCACACTATATCATCTCTTCCGCTTCCACTGATATGACCTTCTCGAATTGTTTGAACGAAAAAACCCTTTCTTCAAAGATCGAGAAAGCGCTCAACCTTCCCCTCACCCTCGCCTGGCGCTCCGTCGTTCCGAGCGGACGGTTTACCTTGGAGTGTGATTGGGATGAGGGTAACCTTTTGCCCTATACGAAATTATAAAAATTATCTGAGTTATCGAGAACTCTCTAAAATTTGCAAAGAAAATTCTCCTCTGCTCAGAAAGTTTCCTCTCCTCTGTATTAGAGGAAAACGAACTTGTTTTGCTAAATTCATCCCCTCTTGGAATCGATGAATACCCTGCCTTTGTGTAATTCTGTTGACCATGGATGCTAGTAGTTTGGGCTGGTAAAATACCTAGAAACACAATCAGAAGTGTTGAGAGTGCATCCATACTACTACATATTTCGCTTACGTAAGTAAAGGGACCGATCGCCGCCAGCAAACCTGAAGTAACAAACCTTTCTGCGGTCATTCTTCGAATGGTCGCGCACTAGCTATTAAGCAGCCGCGGAGCTCAGCTCGCTACTTTTTCGCTGCTGATTCACAGTGAACGCTTGACTACACTTGAATATGAGCGCTGGGTGCCCAGCAGTATGAGTTGGGATCTTTGTGGCTGCCTTCGCCCCGTTATTTGGGGCTCTCTCTTCTTATGCGTTACCATCGCAGTAGAAAACTATCGCGGTTTGTAGAGAACAACACATGGATGAAACGTGCTACGTAATACATTGTTTTCGATGAAATGTTATGTGGTAACCTCACCCTTTCTAAGTGCTACTATGTATAGAAGAATATACGTCGCATAGTAATGCTTCGCTAACTGCAGTACTAAAGTAATAACAGTATAGTGTAATCTGAAGCTGTGGTAGGAGATGGTAGCGCACAGTCGGGACTGTGCGGCTCAGTTCATGAAACAGTCTTTCGCTGCTTGAATCAAGGCCTTAATTCTTTTGAGCCGTTCCTGGTACTGTCCACAACAGTGGCGCTGGAGCCACATGTTCTTGTGATTCATATTCCTCTATAGTATTTTTTGAATTGCTCTAATTGAGGCAGTTGTATAAAGGATTAAAGGATAAAGGATAAAGCATTTGCCGTTGATCAATCCCTTTTTGGGATGCGGCACGCATTCTACTTCCATTTGTACATTCGCAGTGGCGTTTGAATGCGATGTGGCCTATACAATGACTTGCGGGGGCCAGCCGATGTACAAGTCAGTGTTTTTATCCTCCCAGACAAGTCTGGTACCAATTAACCGACCCCGGAGGGATGGAAGGCTTGGTTGGCCGGGCGACTCACGACCCAGGATTTGATCCCCGGACCGCGCGCGTGGGAAGTAGTAGGTGCCACTGCATCACTTCCGCTCTAACAGTACTTATCGCTACCTAATTATATTACAAACAAAAACATATCGAGATCGCTGACTGTCAGTTCAATTTTACCACATACTAAACCTCTTTTGAATACAATAGTATGCCATGAGAAAAGTCACCGGCAATCTGCTCGATGTTTTATCCAATCTACAGGTGAAATGGTGTATTTGGCCATGCAATCTTCATTTCTATGATGACGCAACCAACTATAATGTGTCTAGATTTACTAAACACTTTGAAAAAGAGAATTTTAGATCTTAATTCGTTCTTCTTTGATTGTTAGCTGGTGTTTTTTGCACAATTCGCCATGCTAAAGTTGCTTATGAACTGCAAATCTACTTGAAATTTGCGCTCTAAAACCTCTTATTTCAGATCCCTCAAGTAAGCTACTCCTCGACTGGTGCTGAATTGAGCGAGAAGCCACGATTCGCATATTTTTCCCGAGTGGTGCCTCCTGACAATCTCCAAGCACAAGTGATGGCACGAGTGGTAATTTTTTATTTTTAGACATTCTTGACTCTGTCAGAAGACATGAGGGCAAAAAAGCAAAAAGCGTTAAGCAAGGAGCTCGGTCACCCTCTTCCTTGTTTACCTAGCATTTGCATAATCGTTTTACGTTATGACATGTAGGCAGGGTGAAAATCGGTCGAGGATTCGTCGACGGCTCGTCGAGGATTTTCGCCTGTTCAGTCACGCTCTCCGCGCGGACATTCACTCTCGCCATGCGCGAGCCGTCTGTGCTCTCCGCGCATTCACTCTCGACACTACTCTCGCACAGTAGAGAGCCATGGTCGAGGATTTCCTCGACCGTTATTCACCCTGCCTCTGGGGTCCAGCCAAGGTCTACTTCAATGTTTTCCACTCTTCATGAGGTGAATCCACAGAGAACTGGTCGAGGTTTTGAATGCAGACCTTTCCACTTCATTCAAATTGGAGCACTGCCAGGTAACGCGTGTAATAGCGGCGCCGATTTCCACTGCACCACTTCCGCTCTAACTATATCAAGTTATACACAATCAACTTCTATATCAGATAAGACGGGGTTGTTTTTGCGATTGCCTCTGTTGACAACCACCGTCATCATTTTTGGTGGCAAGACTTCCAAACATAAACGACTCTCGCAGCTTAATATCCTAACAGGGAGCTTGGGAAAATCTGAATAAATTGGATATTGAATAGGCCTTCTCTGGGACTCTGCTGGCAGAAAGCTCGAATTTTGCAGCGGTATTTCCCATTTGCGGCGCTTATTGGGGACCTTGGCCATAAGCACAAATACAAATGGTCGCTTAACTAAGTATTCTACGCAATTGTGGAGAACCTACAGGTCTTAGCGATTTTTTGGAAGTTCAGCGTACTGGGTTAAGCCACCCAAACAAGACTTTCCAACTCTTACATTCATTATGATCGTGAACTTGGTGGTGAACCTTTCGAATGCTATCATGTTTCTGTAGAGCTTTGATTACCAAAGACATAAGAATTTGAAAAAAAAAGTATTAAGATTTATTTGCAGATTCGAGAATTGGACTGGACGTATGTGCATGCTATCGCCGATACTGGTTCCTATGGTAAGCATGTTGCACCCGAAATTTTTTTATTATATAGCTATAAATGCTTATGATTGCGACTGACTTTTAACCAAAGTGTGACTCGTGTGGGGGCCGGTTTTGGTCCATGATCGCTGTCTCTCTCTCAAAGAGATTCTTCACTGCCTCGTTTTTTGAATTTCTTAACAGTAGTGACATAAAGCCATTCTGAGAGCCAGTCTTCGAAAGGCTTAGCTTTACTTATTACTTGGCCTACATAAACCCTCACTAATAGGGAGTGTCTAAAGAATTTCTTTGTGATAGCGTACTTCCCTGTTCTTGCAACATCCGCTTCTTTACGGTTGAAGCGGATTTCCTCAGTTTTGTTCGAACCTCACAAGACAAATCGTTAAAATTATGCTCAAATAGCCCTGCCCCTCACACAAGCTCCTGCCACACTCCCGAATTACACTTTTTAAGCAGGTGTTGCTTAATTTTCGATCCAGTATATGCACCATAAGGTGGGACTGTCGTCCTGTGAATAAGACGGGTAAATCGAAACTTTAGATCATTTGAAAAAATAAGGCGGCCATCAATAAGGTACACTGAATCCGATTTCGAACTATTAGGTTGAGCAAAAATTATCCGCCGTTTTCATTTCACTCATAAGTTTATTAACAAAACCAAACAAAAACAACAATAAATGCGTAATCAACAAACGCTCTCGAACAGTCCTCTCTGCAACCGTGCCTTCATCCCAGGCTTCATTGATTCTACGAGCAGATGCAGAAGCATTCGGTTTCGAGCTCAACTTGCACTCATGTAGCAGGGAGCAATCTTTTTTGCTAGTGTGTAAGCTCCATAGTGAAGCAAATACACAAGTGTTGTACATCAAAATGTACAAGAGATTGCGCGCTTCTCAGACTACATCATAAAGCAAAAAGGATAAAGCATTTGCCGTTGATCAATTCCTTTT